CCTGCTGCAGAGGAGCTTAATGGGAGCTTGAAGGTCAGGAGAGCTAAGGAAGGTGACGAGGAAAACAGTAAGGATTACCAGAATCATCATAGCTATTATTTTTAAAAAATGGAAAAGCATAGGCTTATTCTCTCAACTTTCTGCTTTCTACAGTATCGCATGCCTCTGCCGAGGTAGGGAGTCATGGAGGTCCTGTCAAGAAAATCTATTTGAGTTTTAGGGGTGGGTCATTCACTTTCCTCTCTCACAGGACATGGATGTTAGCTGGTGGCATAAAAACAGAAACCATACTTCCAATACAGGGTATCGCACATTGGAGTCACCTTTAAACTTCAGAATACGATAGAGCTTGATGGCATATAACCAGGTCTGTGAAATGTCTCTACTAACTACTGTGACATCTGATACAGACTCATCTGGGAGAGAAACGAGGATCTCAGAAATTCTGCTTCTGCCCAAAACGCAGGCAACGTGGTCTTAATGCCAACGTGGTCTTAGAAAATAGTTCCCTGGATGACTTGACTTTAAATTCCCTCTAAATTTTTATACATGTGCATGAAAATGCACAGAAAGACTTCTGAAAGGATTCTAAGGGAAGGAAGGAAAGGAGGACGGATTAGCCAGCACGTGTGTATGGAGGTAGACTTCACTTCACGCTTCTGCACTGGGCATTTTATAATAGGTATACTTTCACGTATTTCTTGTTTAACCTTCAAAAATTTAAAGGAAAAGAAAGAATGCTGGTCTGGGACCAGGTGACCTGTTAAAACCCCACTGTGGCATTTAACCTAAAGGTTCTGTTTGCTTGTTTTTAAAGTGAGGTGTTGGATTAGACCATCTCTTTGAGTCTATGATCCTTCTGGGTAAATGGGAAGAAAATCAATCTGCATTACAGGAAGTCTAAAATAAATGGTAATAAGTAGAAGTATCATTTTCTGACATTAAGGTAAATTAAAAGCATCTCCAAGTCATTCTTGCCATTTTGGTCAAGACTGCAGACACCTCCCTCACAGACCAGAAGCGCCAGGAGGGAGCCCTGAGAGCACAGTTGTGTGGGGCTGATCTTCTCGCATCCCCTTCAGAGCCCCGAGCCTCACAACGTACTAAGTCCAGGATGTTAGAGTTAAAATGGTTTGATGTGGTTTTTGGTGAGGAAGATTAGCCCTGAGTTAATGTCTGTGCCCATCTTCCTCTATTTTGTATGTGGGATGCTGCCACAGCACGGCCTGATGAGTAGTGTGTATGTCTGTGCCCAGGATCTGAACCTGTGAACCCTAGGCTGCTGAAGCAGAGGGCGTGAATCAGGTGGCCCCTCATTTGATGTGTTTTTATCATTTTACCAAAGTCTCTGAAATGAATTCTATGCTTTGTCTCATTTTTCAGCTGTTGAAAAAAATTTAATTCTCCCTTGTTGAAGGAACAGAACAGCTAGGGTGGGGTAACTTTTTGTTCTCTCTTTTGGAGTCTGGGCTGCAACGGAAAGCTGTCATTTGAAGCCTACCGGGTTCAAGGCATGACAGAGAGACTAGATACGGCAATTTACTCAGTCCATACTCTACAAGGCAACAAGTAGCAACTACGGAAACTTGTTAGAGACCTTTGTAATTCCCTTCAACTTACAGGACTCGGCTGTGAGAAGAACTGGGAAGCCTTTCTGGAGTGCCAGGATTCACTTATGTTCTGATCATGCTGGCGTCCCGTTCAGGAGAGGGAAGCCTGGGCCTGCGGCCTTATTACTAGTCAGGAATGACACTGGGTTTTCGCCTCAGAGCTTGGGGAGGGGTGGAGGGTGAAGAGGCCTGTGCCACGAAGTCCGCTCAAGGAAGTAGAGACCTAGGAGGGTCCCAGGGACGGAGCTGAGGTCAGGTTCATGTGAGGGTTCATAAGGCTGAGGGACCAGGCATTGAAGACAGGAGAGAGCCTCAGAAACTGTTAAATGAAACAAGAGGCTGATGGTGCTTCAGTCCCGACCAAGAACAAGCTTAAATTGTTTATAAAAAGAAACGTGGTTCAGGGGAGAGATTCAGGGCCACATCATTGCCTGTACTCTCTGCCCCTGGCCAAAGGAGACACCCTCAAGGGTCTCTTAAGGGCCTTGGTATTAGTTCCTAGAAGTCATTTCCTAAGTTTGAGGTTCCAGCTGTGCCGGGAGGACACCTGAAAGGCAGTGAGTCCTCAGGATGGCCAAGAAGACGTCTGAGTTCTACTGAGCACAAAGGCTCAATGGACACTGTTAAAAGAGCACCAGAAAATCTCACTGTCAAGTTTTGTTCTTCTAAGATGGTCCAACGCTTTCCCCCAAGTACTGCTTATATTTCCTAATGGACTAGCAAACTGTTCGACAGTACAGAAGCAAACTTTATCCTGTCCCTTTCTGTGTGATTATAATTCCAAATTAAAGCGGAATTCTATTTTTCCTATGTTTATAAATTAGTTCTGATCAAATTTCCTTATGGTTTTCTATATCTTTCTTTTTAAATATGGCACTCTCTTCTTATCATAGCTTTTTCATTTGCTGGGTAATATGGTATAGTCATAGCAATGCCTGAACTTATTATTTCAGGGACAAATGTGGAATTAATGTGATTTTTAATGTTAATTTAAAGCAAATTTACTGTGTATTTGCATTTGATCTTGAGTTTTAAATGAAGCTTGTACTTACACAAACAGTAAGATGAATGTCTAGATTTTAGTAAAAATAATAGCAAAAAAAAGCTAATTAAAAGGAGATGGGAATTTAATCTCTTTAATTTAAAATCTCGTAGCTTGAACCCCTCATTAGAAGGGGGTTTTCATTAAAAAAACAAGCTGTAAACATTCCCAATAATTAAACATGAGCATATGATCTATGATAAGACTTGGGCCTTAGTTCATATATGCTTAAATACACAAAATTTTACTTGATTTCCTCTTATTATCTTATTAAGCTCCACCCTCCAGTGAAACGCATTTGTGTGTGTAATTGTCTTGTTCCTATACCTCCAGCATAGACCACATTAAAAACACTTCTTCCCAGACTGTGAAGTATTCAGTGATAAGCCACAGGGAACTTAACACGATAGCATGTCCTTACCAATTAATTATGCTGCTGACTTGGTTTATGAGGACTGAATTATTCATTAGAATCTTTTTAGATCATGTCGCTGCAAGCTAAGACTTAGAGATGTTGGAGCACCAACAGGATAGTGATGAAGAAACTAGAATGATTTTACTTAAAAACCAAATAATCACCTCAATTTTAATGCCTGTACTTTCCACACCCAATAATGGCGGTTTACTCTTATGCCCTATCATCTTTGAACATGGAAGAGAATTCATGGCCAAACTAAGCTGTAATTCTGTGAGGTAGAAGAAAACACTGCTTTGGGAGTCAGAAGATGTGGAATTTAGTTAGTTCTACTTTTGTCACAAACTAGGATTGTGACCTTCCACAAGACCCTTCACCTCTCTGGGATTGTGTCTATAGACTCTAAAATGAGGGCTTGGAGTGGAGGGTTAAGATTTCTTTCCATTATAAAATTTCACTAAGACTCGATAATGTTTGTTTAGAAGGTGCAAAGATAGCAGCTGGTCTATTTTGAAGCATGCTAGAAATAAAAACAAAAAGTAGAAAAATATGATTTGAAACACACAGGTAAATAAATAATGTGTAGTCCTGCCCCCACCCCCAAAGCCTTATGGGTCTGTTCTGGTCAGGTGTGGCATATGAAAGTGCAATCACTTCAAACAGCTGCGGCTTGTGATTGGAACAATTATCTGCTGGAGGGGAAAGCGGCTATCAATGAGACGGAGGGACTCATCTCATCTCATGTATGCCAAAAACAATGCACGGTGTCTGGTACAATGCAAGGACTCTTAATTACTACCCACTTGGGACGTCTTTGAACTAATCAGTCATTAGGTAATATTTTTTAAGGGTTATTCTTTGTGTTAAAACTAGAATTAACCATAATTAAAATGTTCTATATCAGAAGTCCTGTTAGAGCAGAATTTTATACAGCAATGTCCCCAAACACAACAGTTCTGACTAAAACCAAATACATCATCATTCTTCCCTCTCTTTTCTATCTTCTTCCTAAACAGGAAGGGGTGGCTGTTACTTTAGCACCCGGGTCATGGACTACTGACACCTGTAGTGTCTGGCTTTCAATCACCTTCAAGAATTCTGCTTTCCTTTTATTTTATTTAAGAATAACAGAGTTAACTGGAACTAAGCCTAACTTTCATAGATCTTATTCTTCTCTTTAGCAAGCGCCTTAGTTCTTTCAGTTCTTGTTAAGTTAGCAAGGTGGTTATAAAGAGGGATGATTTAAAGGTGACTGAAGACTGACATTAAATCTGAGGGTTTTCTTACTTTCCAAGTTGCACAATTTAGGGTCTTAGAAGAAGGCTCAGCAGTAACAGAATCTTCCTCTAGGACCAAGGTCAGTTAATGCACAGCCTTGAACTTCCTAAGGGGGAAAGGATGGGCATTCGGGACCATGTGTGATGGTGTGTGCACATGTATAGAGATGAGTAGAACTGAGTGCTGACCAGCTCCCCTTAACCAGATTTCACCACCTTGGCTAACAGAAGGAACTGGCTTATACTCTATCTGCCCAGAAAAAGACAAAAAATATATATATTTAGCCAACAACGAAGATAGAATTTCAAATGAGGAAAAAAGAAGACAGGGTTGGAGGAAGCCTGGAATAATGAAGGTAAAGTACAATTCTTGACTTTTGGGAAAATGTTTGGTTTTCCTGTGTGCGGGGAATTCACATGTAAATTTGGACAGTGGTGATATCATAATCCCACCAGAGCGTATTTACATCATAGTGAAATACACATCTGAGAGCTGTCCGATGAGTAACTGCTATTTTTTAAAAGCCATCATCCATAGAAAGAAGACAAGTACTGGCAAAATACTGCCCTCTCAGATATGCTGACTCCATATAGAATTGGATATTTTACAACCCGAACTGAAATATAAGAATGTAATTCAGAAACCACTCAACAAGTTTGGAAGTTTCAATGTTATAAACTGTTATTTTCAAACAAGGGTCATTTAATAAAATGTAACCCTGGTAAATAGCTGGTGGTGGACTTGACATCCCATGCCACCATATATATATATACATATATATATATATAGGCTGAAGACACGGAGTGTTCTACGTGACTTGTCATTTCACTTTTAACAAAGTGCTAAGTCAGAACAGAATTACATTTTTCATATACTATTTAATGCGATCATATTAAACATTTAGTCACCTTTAATGTAATTACTTAAGAGCCTAGTAGATGAAATTATATTTCACAGAAACAAGGATAAGTAGAGACCGAGACACAAGGTATGTGCTCGGAGTCCTGGAAAGCACTCGATCACCACAGTAAAGATGGCCAAAGGTTTCCGATCTAATTAAAACTAGGGAGTCGTATAAGAAATGGCTTTATTAGAAAAAATGTAGTGTACAGGTGGCTAATTCCTATCATTGATATACTTCTTGGAATTAAAATCTGACACAGGGTTTAAGCTTCTCTAGAAGTTAGTGGCATTTCTTCCTGCTCTGATATGTGACTTAGGGAAGGAGTTATCTCCACTTGATAGACACCCTTTATTTCTTTTCATAATTACAATCAATCACTCAGTAGTTTAGCACTGGCACAAAACATAGAGGGCATTATTTAGGTAGTGCTTTATGTGTAGACATCACTCTCCCAACCCAGCATCAGGCACAGATGGGCCATTTATAGAGTTTTAAAATCCCCTATTATCACTCAAGTTCCACATTATTATTACCTAGAAGTAATTAAATTAATGCGATCATCTGTAACCTAACAAAACCTCTGAAGGAAGTTTCTCTCTTCTCCTTTTTTTTCCTGTTAGATGTGCAATTCCAAGCAAATGTGCAGTATGCTGTATTGATTTCCAGTCTCTTTTTAAACTCCTTCAAGTCTGTGCTATTAAACTGAGACAACCACATCAAGATAGAGTCTGTCATAGGATTCCCTGAAGCACAGAATGAGGAGGAGACTGAGCAAACAGGACCCGGGAAGGCACCAGTTGAACCAAGACAACTCTGTAAGACAAAAACATGCAGTTGTCAGCATTCATGTGTCACCAGCTCAACACCACCTGCGTGCCGGGAGCCATCGGCTCTGCATTCACAAGCACTCATGACAAATGCGCCCTGGAGGCCTGAGAACGGGCTTTCAATAAACAAGAGACAATCCGGAGTCTAAGTGATGCATGTAATATATTACAGGGCTCCCATGGGGAATATTTGTAATCAACATTGTTAATAACTTCTCATCAATTTAATCCACCTTGACTTTGGTGGCAAAAAAAAAAAAAAAATCTATTACGTCAAAGAAAAAAATCAATCACCTTTAAATGCTAGTTTGTTAATTATTTTTTAAGTGCCCTCTACCACTATCGCTCTTGGCCCTGTTTAGAAATATCTGATGGATTAGAAATATAAATAAGAAAATCAGCTGAATTTTGAGATAATACTTTTAATTTTTTTGCATAGAAATAGCTAATTCTCAACAAAAACATCAAGTAATAATCACTATAGAACAGAGCAGAAAATATATTTAAAAAAATAAAGGAAAACAAATTAATCCTAATTCTAGCCTCAGGTAAACCACTGTGAATATTTCGGTTCATTTCTTTCTAGTCTTTTTTTTCCTACTAGGATAAATGGTTACCTATGACACCAATTATCAGAACGCATATAGACATCATCTAAACAGGTAATTCCATTGTTATTTAACTGATGGTATCAAGAACACACTTCTTCAAAAATGCCCACTCCTGAGTTCAGGCCTCTTCCACAAGTCAGCCCGGGCCTCCTGCTCCCAGCACCCCCAGCCCCGCGGTGGTCCGGGCTGCTTCCTCCAGCTCCAGTGGCCCTCATGCTGTGCCAAAGTTCAGCTTCCTTCCACCCCAACCCCTTGCCGGTCAACCCTGAGGCTCTGGCTGCAGAAATGAGCAGCTTCTTGGCATAAAGAGGGTGGTAGCAGGGGTATAACTGCTTTAGTTTAATATCCATTTAGCAGTTTCAATTAAAAAACCAACAAATGAGAGAAACAAGTTCCCCGGCACAGTTCTTTCTTTGGGCATGGCTACAGGTTTATAGTTTCCCTTTGTACTTCTACAGAATGCTAATACTGTCTTAATCTTCAAAAATCATCCTAAAGATTTCCACACTGCTGCCTTAGTTTAATCCATAATTCATATGGCTAAAAGAACATTATGCTCAGGAATGGAAATCAGAAAACCACCCAGTAAGAAAAGGTGCTGAAACAGAGCCTTTTTCTGCAGTATGCTCATGAAAACAGCCTCGCCACCCCTCAATTTCTACATTTAAAAAGTCACACATGCTTTCTGTAGCATGTAACCAAGACGTATATTTCAGTGGTATTTTCATGCAAAGCTGTTCTCTGTGCTTTACTCGGATCGAATGTAATCTCAACACTCAGAAGGGCTGTGACCTCTGGGATCTTGTCTTTATTCTGATCTTCCCTGCAATGATGCACCAGGCATTTTCTGCTCTCACATTAACCATACAGCCCTTGGATTCTGACGATAATTTTAACAGGCAAAAAGAAGCAGTAAAAAATAAGAAGAGAAAAAGCAGTAGAATACCTCTTGTATTAAAAGTGAGCATTTTGACTTTAAGGTCGAATTTTAAGCAACAGCTAAAGGAAAGTATGGTACTTGACAAAACGGTGTATAGCAATGACATTTTCTAAATCTTAGAGATTGTGTTTCATGGGGAGCTAGAGCAACACACATGTAGCAACGATCAACTAGTGCTTGCTCTCCTTAAACCTAGAAAACGGTCGAATATTGCCAAAGCACACCTTTTATTTCATCAGAGTTGTAAAATGATTCCTTCTACCTGGTTTCAGATGAAATCTCTACAAATGCCTCATAATTGCTCTCTGGTGTCGTGGTTTGTTGGCTGTTTTTTACCACCGTGCCTCTCTCGGAAAAGTCAAGCTACCTTCCAGTAAGTTCAGTTGTCAATCAACTGTAAGTGTTCTCTGAGATTATTTGCCTTTTCAGAAAGCAAAAGGTCAGCGACGGGAACCTCTACATTTTCCCACTGAAAACCATTCACGTAAACCACAGCTCAGGTGCCCTACTAGGCAGGAAAGGGCTTGCTTAAAAGTCTAATTGGACTTCGCAGGAGCAAAGTCAACTGCCGTCCCTCCTGAGCCCGGTGTCACATGATGTAACTGAACCAACAGAGTCCTGATCCACTGAAATGTTCTTATTCTTGCCCTTGATATATATCCTTTAAAGTGAGCACAGTTTCCCAACATTCCTTCCCTCTGCCTGTCACTGGAGAAAACATAAATCCATACTCCAGCTCCACAACTGGCCTCCATATTTCTGCTGGCTCTCTATCACCTACTGTACTGTAACCTGAGCACTCTCTTTGCCAATTTGCAGTTAGACAGGTGCTGTATTTTACTCTGTGAAGTGGGCTCTGCACCAAATGGTGATGCTCTGTTGGGACTGAACTAATTAGGATTTTGCTCATCCTTTTACCTTTTCCTTCCAGAAGCACTATTATCCTTTTCACCTTATCCTTCCCTTCAGTGATGCCATACTTTCTGGTACGTGTCTGGTTCCAGATACTGTGCTCCAGAACCATCCTTCTACAGGCACACCTCATTTTAATGCACTTTGCTTTACTGCACTTCACAGATACTGCGTTTTTTACAAACTAAAGGCAAGATCCTCCAGCAGCAGAAAGATTATGACTCACTGAAGTCTCAGATGATGGTGAGCATTTTTTAGCAATAAAGTATTTTTTAATTAAGGTGTGTAGTGTTCTTTCAGACATAAGGCTATTGCACACTTAACAGACTACCGTATAGTGTAGATTTTACATGCACTGGGAAACCCCTAAATTCCTAACTTGCTTTATCGTGAGATTAGCTTTAGTGCTGTGGTCTGGAACCAAACCTGCAACATCTCCAAGGTATGCCTGTACTGTCTTTGTGATTTAACAAAAATTATGGTGATTTAACAAAACTGTCCCCACTCTCCCTCAAGAGGAGATAGCTGACACATGATTTCACAGTTTAAGGCCCTGCTCCTTTCACGCCACATTAATTACCCAACAGGTCTGACCATCACATTGCATTATCATACTCCTTAGACACAAAATTACTTCTCACTAGTCCACTGTTGAACCTGTTCTGGTAACCACTAGTCAAGGCCTCCCACTTCAGCCAGGCCCCTGAATCTTCTGAGCCACAATGCAGCCTCAAATCCATGGTCAGCTACTTCAAAATGAAAGAACTGAGGTAAAAACCTTTAATGCTTTTAGCTAAAACCTGCTGCAAAGCTTCTAGAACAAAAAATAACAGACAATACACACTTCAGAACAAGGTACAAACTATAAAATAGGACATTAGACTACATTTCAGAGTATGTAATGAATAAAATAGCATTCCCAAATTGATTTTGTATGTGAAATTATTAGACTAGAGCATCACTGTGCTGTCTGAAATAACTCGCTGAGATTCTCAAAGCAGACATTACAGGAAGCAATTCAGTTCTACAAACATGCTTAGATTGGGGAGCAAGTAACAATTTTTTTCCCAAAAGTGACCTTGAAAAACCCAAGTCAGAAAAACTCTAAGAAAATTCTGACACTGTTTCAGGTACCTAAAACAGAAGCAAAACAGGACATGGGAGACCCTGTAACCCAGGGCTCCAAATAAGCCAGAGGCATTGACAGCCGGTGTGACATTTGCTGTCAATGATAGTGATGGCCATAATCTGCAAGCAAATCACCAGCGGAGCCTCTCTTGGTGCACAAGCCAGTTGACTGTGGTCATTCTGGGCTTAGTCTGTTCAGCCCTGAAAACTTATCTCTGATGTAGTCACCTACCAGATAGCAGATTGTGGGGAAATAAAAACTCTAGTCAGGAAGTTTAGTACTTCTTTGAGAAGTGACCAAAAAACCCACAGATCTTCATGATGATTAAAAATCAGCCCTTCCAATCGTGAAACTTATAGTTGAATTTTGACATGTAACTAACTTCTGGGTGAGCTTTTCAAGTTTTAAAATGACTGAGTTCTGACATTTGAACCTAGCTTTAATGGAAGGGAATTCAATTTATCATATAAAATGTTTAGGGCACTAGGCTGTCGGAACCACAAGTTATTTTTAGGAAATAATTTTACAGAATTTTCAGATTTGCAATTCATATATCATCATTCCTCAGTTATAAGGCATGTGGATCTGCCACAGGACTTCTGGGGTGAGACCAATAATCCTATGTGAAAGAATCTCAACACAGTTTTCGTAGTTCTAGTAACCTTAGCCTTAGAGAGCTGTGGGGTATGTTCGTGTGTATCCATTATACACACTCACAAATAAACATATAAAAGCATGTTTTTAAGTAGAAGCCTCGCTATTTAAATTTCTGATGTCAACCAGCTAATTAACTAGAAGGAAACACAACAAACACTGGTGAGTGTTGGCTATGCCCTGGTCTAAGCTCTTTTCCACATATCTTCTCATTAACTCTCTAAAATGTGAAAATGTACTGAGATTTTTATTTTTTCTGCAAATCACCTAGTTGGATTAAAATTAATTATTATATAAAGTTTCATTTTGCATAATAATCATGGAGTTTGGGCAGAAACCTTTAACATCTACACAGACATGTAGAACACGTGATCAAGAAACACGTGATCAGAAACCAACCAAAAAGAGGGAAGCCTTTGTTCCCCAGCTAGATAAACCCCTGGTTCTATCAGTGAGATAGGAATTAGCAGAAACGGTGCTAAGTGTTTCTTCTGCCACCTACGCCAAAGAGAGAAAAATATCTGCTTGTCTCTGGTCACTCTGCAAAATGAGAAGTGAGCACTGACTGAGGCCAGTTAATTCATGGCAGATGCAGTCTCTGCGGAACAAATTGGAAGAGCAGTGGACCTGGGATGGTGACAGAGAGACTCTACCGGCCAAGCAAAATGGTCAGGAGTGCACTGGGGTCTTCACAGTCGGACAGTTTAGGGGCATTCCCTTCCTTATACTGATCAATAAATACATGCTGGTATATTCTAGAGACCACATGCAAGAGGCTTATAGGGAGATAACATTACCTGTCATCTACTGTTGTTTTTAAATACTGGGAAGATAAAACTATTTCCAGCAGACAGGAAAAGCCACACTCTACTAGGCTGCAAGGACCCCCAGCAAACCTGTGCCCGTGAGCTGGAAAATCGTTTCTATCACCTGAAGGGGCGACACAGCCACCTTTGGCACTTTACCAGGCAAAAGAGAGGCACTGAGCCTCTTAATTTCAACTGTGTCATAACTGAAGTGGATTAAAGCTGATACGTAATAAGCGTTAGATGATCCTGTTTAGAAAACTCATTGAAAGCAAAGACCTGGGGATGGCATTTTCCCTAATGGAAGCACGTTTCCGGGAGGATAGGAAAGTGTGGTCTGACTTCATTACTATCACTCTCCTTCATATGATAAACCAAACTCACATTGAGTTTAGCAAAATTGAAATCTGCTTTACCTGCATTACTGATTGACAGAAATAATCTAATTTGTTGTTAATTATATTAAGAAATTAATATATCATTTAGATGCCTTTGGCTGTTAACTCAAAGTGCTATGCCAAAAGCTGTCCAAAACCCAGGGCGGTTTCTGTTTCACCAGCTTTGAAAGTTTGAAAAACTAATTTTCCAGTCAAGGAGGTTATTGTGGTTATTCTTTCAATTATAAGCATATCAGAAAGTTTCCTGTAAATAAATAGGCATCTTCAAGTATCACATTTTAGAGCCTTTCTTATCTGAATCTTATCAATCAGATTCTTCCATGTACAAATTATCCAAATTTACTGCTATTTGATGAGCAGTTAGGAGATCAGCCACCAGGAAAAAAAAAGGCAGTAATATTAGATTGTTTAAGACAAGGAAATAAAATGGGATGTAAATCTAGTAGAAATTAATAAAAGCTTTATATTCAAGACTCCCAAGTATAAATCCTTATTTCAACATGCAAAAAAGAATCCTAGAAAATTATGCCCAAATTTTCTGAAATAGTAAGACAGAATTTGGACCATAGAAAAGAGAATCTCAGAGAACACCAAACAACTGTGCAAAACGGAGTTACTACAAACCTATGGATCTCAACACCAGCCAGGCCTGCCCTCAACATGCCCAGCCATCTTTCCAGCTCTCCCTGCAGCGTCTCCTCTCACCCTCTCAAAGGTTATTTTAAAGTTTCATTCTCTCCTTAAGCCCTTTCTCAACTTTCTTCCCACCAACTCTTAATAGATGACCTGGCTTCTAAGCAGAAAGTTGGTGTCATCAAGAAGTGACTCCTTCAACAATCTGTCCAGCAAAGGTAGCTGCTTCTGTGCCATGCATACTGCCTTCTCTCTCATCTCCGTCTGTCCAAGGCTGACTCCTCCACTTGGGTTCAGGACCCCATCGATTTCCTCTTTCGTAAGGATTTCCCTCTTCTTCAAAACTGTAACCTGGGGTTCCAACTTCAACCTTCTTTTCTCTCTGTACTTGCACTCATCAATTTGGTAGCTGCTAGCCACATGTAACTATTTAAATTTACACTTAAATTAATTAAAATAACATTAAAAATCCAGTTCCTTAGCTGCACTAGCTTCATGTGGCTGGTGGCTACTGTATTAGACAGTGCGGATAAAGAGCACATCTATTATTATAAAAAGTTCCATCGGCTAGTGCTGTTCTATATACTCTATACACTCCTTGGGTGACTTCTCATTCATCCCTAGGGCTTTAAACTACATATATACCCCTGACATTAATTTATACCTTGTGTTAAGACAGTAGATTCTAAGTATTTTTTAAAAAGCAATATACCAGTGGTTCTTAATGAGAACCTGTATATTAGAATCACCTGGGGTGGGGCTTTTAAAAATACAAGTGCTGGGCCCTAGTCCAGGTTAATTAAATCAGAAACTCTAGGGGATGAGAGTGTATTAGATCAGGCTAGGATGCATTTCAAGAAAAACAATTGAGGATATTTTCTTTTATTGGCAAGTGACAGCTCAGATAAAGCAATTTGCCTTAGCGAGAATTCTCCATATAAATTCTCTATATGTCAGTGCCACAAACCTCTCTCATAACACATTTGGATAGTAAACAAAGAGTCAAATTTCTTACCTGTGTGATAAAATGTGAGAAAAAATAAAAGTACTCCCATGAACATATTACTTAAAAAAGTGACAACTCCACAAGTAATTCCTTCTGGAACTGGGTAGACAGTTTCCACAAAAAGCTCAAAAAATATAGGTATACTGCTGTTCAAGAAGACTCCCAAGAGAATGCAGGAGGCATACAACGTCACTAAAACAGAAACACAAACATTTTAGTTTCATGGTGGCAGCAGAGTCGTAGCGGACAGATCTTCTGGGTACCCTCCTTCAGAAGTATTGACTCTGGAATTTCGCCTCTTTTCAATGGTAGTTGATAAAGTTTGACCAAGCATCACACATCTGTCAACTCTTTGCTCAGCTCTTGTGGAGCAGACAGGAGAAGGTTTTGTCACTGGATGATTACTAGTTTATTTGCCGTATCTTTTTGGTGAGTGAGTCCAAAGCACAGAAACAATTTTACCACCCTGATATCATTAAAAGGACTCTTCGCCCTTGGTCACACTCCTGGCAAATAGAGGGACAGACAAAACATACCAACTTAATTCAAAATCTAGACTCATCCTATAATCTTATAGAGAACTTAAAATCTAAGAATAAATGTGAGAAACATTGTCAATGAAAATTATATATTTAAAGAGATTGGTTAATAATAGCCTCCAAGTACAAAATAAAAATTATTCAGTATGTAACTCCTGGAGAAACACTTAAAATAGAATTAGTCTTCAATCTTGGAATGAGTTTCATGTCAACAGTTTTTTAAAAATACTTTTTTTTAACACAGAAAAAGTTTTCATCCAGAAATGTATAATTAAAAGTGGTTAGGATCCAAGATCCCCCAATAAAAAGCCTATTAACTCTATTTCGTAATAAAATCTCTGAATAAGGACATTGCTTAGAGACATGCACCCCACTCCAAATAATTATATCTTTTTTACTGTATGCATACAAACCTTCATTAATTTTAATTTGAAGGTGAAAACAGAACCAATGAGGAAAAAAATGATTTCCCTATTTAGAAACCTAAAACATTCCTATAGACTAATAAGTGTATCACACTCAGTGATGATAATGAGTAGAATTTATTCTAAGCTTAAGGTTACCAGGAAAATATTTTTAATAAAAATATTTGTTAAGGAAAAAAATTTCTGTACAGGAAGTGCAGAAAGTGAGGGAATTACCCTAAATCTGTTATGTATTATTCATCGAACATATCAAATCACCAGAATTCACCATAACTGATTGCAATCACTAAAGTCCATAACATTGTTGAAGAGGTAATAGGACCCACTGTTTTCTAACAGAATTTCTCCAATTAACTTCAACTCCCACTTCCTCCTCCAATTACACCAGCCTCGTAGGATGATAAAATATTTAGTACATTCTAATAACACAAATGGCTGGTGATTTTTTTGACTTTCTTTGAACAGAAGACACATATGAAAATATGGAACAGAAGGATGACAGTGAATAAAGAACATACTTGGCTGAGGCATTGACCAAATTATTCACAGAATTAAATGGGAAGCATCTGATAGTTACAATAAATAAATTTAAAACATGAAGGAATTTTCAAGAGATTCTTAAAAACAAAACAAAACCTAACACCTCATGCTCACTGTACATTTGCTAAACATAGACCACGTCGATCAATCAAAACATTCTACTTCACACGTGGCTCGTTATCGGCACATTGGGAAATCGAGGGATGTATTCTATCTACAAAACACCTTATAATAATTTACTGGTCAGTCAGTGGTAATCAGAGCAGAGATGGCTACTGATTCAAACACAGATGAGGCGAGGAGTTTAAAATAAGAAAACACTGAAAAAAAGGACAGGAAAAAGCAAACTCTTAAGAACCAGGAAGTGCTACTTCTAAGTAAGGATTCACAAACCACCCATGGAATTGGTTGTTTTCAGGAAATATGTTTAGAAATGATCCTTTCAATATTTATATTCCTGAAGGAAATATATATACCCTCACGTGTAATTTGTAATCAGGCAAATTAAAATGTAATAATAGAAAAATAATTATAATCTGTATATAACAGAATAATTGCACATTGTAAAAGAAAGAATGATAACGTAATGATGAGGACACACTAAAGGGGGAATATCGGTATGGACTCTTGAAAAGAGAGATTTGATTCTGTTGATTTTTATCAAGCATGGTCCAAAAAACACAAAGGAGAGAGAGACATAGGATGTGTCGGGAAAGCAGAGCCTGGGGAAGCAGGCCTGTCTGAAAACCCCTCAAGACCATGCAGCTCCCTCCGCTTCATGCTCCTTAAGAATCTTCTGATTTTGGTTCCTAGGTACCTAAATTCTGGGAAGAAAACTGGAAATCTTTGTCATTGGAAAGCTAAGATTTCTACAGTGGTTGAACAAGGTTGATGGAACTATAAACAGTCCATCTTCTGTCAGGAAATTTGGAAACATCTGTCAAAATAAGTAACACACTCCCTCTGTGACCCAGCAATTCCACTTCCAGAATTTATTCTATACCTATGCAGGTAAAAGTATACAAATATGCTGCAATATTGCTTGTAGTATGTACAGATTAGAAACAAGATACATGTCCACCGGTAGGGGTTTGGTTGTTTAAAAATTTATCAGACATCCAGAGGTGTATTATACAACCATTAAAAATGAAGTAACTCTGTATGTACTGATATTAATGACATCTAAGGTATAGAAATGAAAAAGGTGTTGAAAAGTGTATTATGTTTTTTAAAAGGACACACACACACACACCCATCTGTAAATGTATAAAATTCTCTGGGCAAACACCCAAGAAACTGACATTCACGGTTGCCTCTAGAGAGGAAAACTGGGGGCCACAGAAGGGTAGACATCTTTCATTGCATACCCTTTTCCTACTATTTGAATCTGACTTCTTTACTATGTGTATATCTGACCTATTTAACAAAATAAAAAAAGAGAAATTTCATTGTAAGCTAACGAATTGGCAGCTGATCCAACTCCCCTTCCTGCGAGTTTGTTAGCTTACTGACTCAGAAGTGGTTTATCACTGGGTGAGCTGACCCACAGACCTGATGTCTACACCTGGGAGGCACCTAACGCAGCCTTGGTGCAGGATCCTTGATGTCAATATTCCCACTTCGTTTATTAGAATTCCTGTTACACACAGGATAAAGGGGCTGTGATGCATGATAGAACTTCAGAGGCCAGTAATAAAAAAGCAAGTATTTTCATTCAATCCTCTCCCTCTTGTTGTTTCCTTCTTGTATTACTACAAAAATGACCAAGAGGTTGTTTTGCACTGGATGGATGTGCTGAAATAGCTTCTTATTGCAGAAAGTAAAGAACCCAAATAATTACACAGGAAAGAGTTAAATTAAGATGTTCATACTCAGAATGGGGAAAGGAAGCTGTGTCAGGACTGATTTAATATATTCCCCAATGCTCTGGGACATGCATAAAATAGAAGCCGATTATTACGAGTCTAAATTTGACCTTCATTTGAGTTTTCAGTTTACAGTCTGAGACAGCGTATCTTTGTCCAGTGGTTTGGCAGATCCAGTGGGTGAATGCCATCTATTAAAAGTCAGGCAGACAAGATAATTTCCTGTTCGTCAGAGAGGGTTCAAACTACATGATCGTTAAATATTTCCATGACTTTCTACAGTAGTGATACTAAAATTAAAATAAACTGCCTTTCAATTAAAAAGCTAAGGTAATTTAGCAGAACAAACACAATGCTGATGCAGAGTTTTTTCAAAGAAGCTAATAAAATTTCACAGGCCCATAATTTAAATTGCAAAAAGACAAAGTCTTGTGTAGCACAAAATACAGTTACAATGGATGTATTTCAAAAACACAAATTGGACCATAACCCTGAAAGTACTCCTCCCCTCAGCCCTGCTCTTAATGACAAATGAAATTACTAAACTTTAGGGAAATAAAACTATGGATGAATACAGTTTTATTAACTGAAACACTCAAACCTTAGCTCATCGGCAGTTATAAAACAAATCACAAAATTTCAGATAATATGAACTATTTCCACTCAACATTTAATGAGATCTTCAAGACATCATCAATAACAATAACAACTTCAAATCTTGGATTTATAGTTTTTTAAACATTTTTTGAAAATGCCTTTAAATATATTATCACATGTGGTCACCCTATCAAGTCTTTGAGGCAGGTAAAGTATCTTACAGATGAGGTGACAAGTTCTGAAAGTCAAAATGACTTATTTACAAACAATGTAAATTAGCAGTGCTAACAATAATATAATTAAGGCTTATAGAATCTAGCATGTTTTCCACCAAGCCACTGTGTCAAACTGAAAAAAAAAATAACAAGGCTTGGTATTTCTTTCATTCAATGGTACTGACACAAAAGGCATGCTTCCCAAATCTGTTTTCCACACAAAAGCTGGAAGTGATTGCACAGAAGGCAGATGATGGAATCAAAAATAGAGCACCAAAAGGTTACAAACAAAAAGATGAACTTTAATCGTGATAAATGTAAAATGGTCCAAGAATTATTGCTTGGATATATAACAGGGGAAACTCAGCTTAAAGCCTTTCTTCAAAACCATTTATCAAGTGCCTATTGTATGTAAGCGGCCCTGGTGGAACAATAAATAGGACACATCCTATCCTCAAATCACTCCTAATCTAAAGGAATATGGTAGACACCTATTGGCTCAGTAGCCATTTATATGCACAGTATCAAGGAGATGATTATACTTCATTCTTAAAAAAAAAAAAGCTATGTCTAATCACAAGAAGCAACAGTCTCCCAGTATTAGGTGTCGAATGTAGTGAGAAAAGTGTGCTAAATTCTAGTAATATTTTCTAAGGAGGACCCTGACAAGCTATGGAGGTTGAGAAGAGAGTGAGTGACTACACTGATTAGTGGTGTGGAATCCAGGTTAGATGAGGAGCGGTTGTGAGAACTGGGAGACGTTTAGATTAAAGGCCAAGTCCAGACATGACAGACACCTGCAGATGTTTTGAGGGCCATCAATGGAAGAGGGAGGGAGATGACTTGCTCTGTGGGAGCTGTGTTGCTCCAAATCACTTACAGCTCAGTAGGAGGAAGAAGCGCTCAGGACTCAGAGCTGACTAACAATGGAAGAGGGAATGTGTTTCCGCTTTTGGGAGGTGTCCAAGTGGCAGTCAGATGGACATATATCTGGAGGGTAACGGAAGAGAC